AGGTCTCAATAGGACGCTGTAAGAGCGGAGACGTCGAGGTCAAATTTTCAAATCTTTAGAGTTCTTCTTGTAACTGAGACACTGGTATACTAAAAGTAGCAATTAATCAAATTCCGATTTTTTTTTCAACTCGAGACGATAACAAAATCTTTAATTGTTTTTGAGGAATACACGACTTTTTCTTCTCATTCTTAAGTACCAATATTTGACAGTGATACCAATGCTTGATAACGAGAACTACAGAAACTTAAATTATTGTGCAACAGTAATTTGTATTTGAGATATTTGAAGTTTTTGTCAGCTGTACAAGTACGTCGTTGAAGAGTTAGCTCATAAACTGAAAGCATTTTTTTTATTATGATGACATAAAAATGCAAAGAAAATTAAAATTTTAAAAATTTTTTGGAAATGATATTTTCAAATTTTCGATTTTATTTTATTGCTTTTTTCTCACTTCGATTAACGAAATGATACTTTTCCACCTAATGGGCACGCATGCAGTTTACTCACCAGGTGTACTCTGCTGGTGAGAGAAACTGATATACACCCATCAGTTACAAATACATCCAGAACTTCAAAAAGTCAATCGTCTTAAATGCAGAAATTATATTTTAAGTGGCTCATTTAATAAACAGTTGCTGATTAATTTTAAAGCATTTTTGCACCATGATCAGGAAAAGGAGAGCATATGATGTTTATTTTGTTTCTTATGTGCAATAAATTTCGACGGGGAAGCGTAGCAGATCCCTTCTGAATGTTACTTAGCTGCTCTAAGTAGTAGAAGCTTTTGACATTCGAGAGCCAAAACACTTCTTAGTTGAATTTTTTTCTGACTACATGGCCAAAAATTTTATCACTACTTTCTAAAATGAACACATAATTTAGAAATTGAAAAATGCACTGCTTTGAAAGAAGGTGGGTATAAGGAAAAACATTCGCCGTAACAGGTTAGAACCAGGTCGAAATACAACAATTTGGAGAAATCCGTTATTATAAGCAGTAACAACACAAGACAGGATGAAATCGAGAACAGTACAAGACTGAATAAGAATTATCACTTATTGACTGATCGCCGTTTGCGCATGAAATTCTCTGCTTTTGCATCCCTGTCTAGACTCCAGTGTAGTGTTAGCTGTCTGGCGCCACCATAGTCCATCTGCAAACCGGAGATGCGTGCTGATCGCTTTTTTGCCCAATGTTTCCGCCATATCCCATCCGACGCCCTTCAGTCGCTTCACGCGATAGTGGCGATTGCGATCGGTAAGCAAATTGTCAATGATTCTGATTTTTTAAAGATTCTGCTGAATTTTGTCATTTTTTGAGGCTAGCAGGTTAAATGTTTAATCAGTGTACTGTTATTGGAACCTATTAGAAATATAAAAAGATGGCTTTCTCGGCACAATTGAAAACTTTTGAATTTTCCATCAAGAACACGGGTAAACTACTGACTGATAGCGAAAAGGGTGAGTTTTCTAAAAGAGACTTTTGTCATAAACAGTGTTTAATGACAGTTGTAAAAAGAAACATTTTCAAGGACCTTACGGCGACTTAAGTTGCTCGTCGGTTACCACTAACGATAGCTTTCCATAAAGCTGTAACTGTGCTGTATGTTGTACTTTGGTGTTTTGATCAAACTAACAAAGTCCTAAAGACGTTGAGCAAACCAATTCAAGTTTTGCTGTTTCCAACTTTCTATGTTTTTCTCTCGACTTTTTTCATTTTGATTGTGCACTCAGTAATCTTTCTTTTATCAAAGGCTAATAGGCGACTGCTCTAAGTTTTTGATGAAGTTCGTGATTAGCTTTGACATTTGGTTCTGTTGGATAATTTCAACATCGCATTGAAAATTTAAAGAATCTTAATTAATAAAATTGTTCTTCTGGCTAGTTTTTATCGCTTCTTTAACACGTTTCATTACTCTTCTTGAGAATCACGCTTTAGCGGGAATAAAAAAATCTACAGTTTACTTTTGAGAGGTATGCGTTATGCATGCAAAGGTATACGCTTTAGAAAATTTTTCAGAATTGCTCTTTACACCTCTTCCTGAAGAAAGCAGAAAAAAGCTTGATGAGGAGTTTAAGTGGCTTATTAAGGTTTTTTGTTTGAATTTTTACCAAAAGCGCAAAGTAAATTTTTTGCTAACACACACTAGTTCTGGAATGCATGATTTTTTTGCGGATTCAAGTCAAGTTTTTTTACCGCTCTCGCTGATGCAATGCTATTTATATATTTTCATGTGGGTAAGTTACGAACTATATTGTACTTATCAGGACTAGTTTAAAACGTCAGATCTTTAAACCATTCAGAGTTTTTATCGTCTTCTTGACACCTTTCATCACTGTTCCTCATGATAATGCGTTTATTGCTGTTTATTTGTCGCAGAATATGAGAGAATTTTTCAAAATTATTTTTGTTCAAAATAAAAATTTTGAAAATGCTCGCAAAACAGCTCTACTGTTTTGGTATTTTGGTTAACGTTTAGTGTTTAAGGGGTTTTAATAGCAAAAAGTTGCGTTAGCAAGCAAAGTGTAATTCACAACGATTAAACCGAAAATGATTGAAGATAACTGTTGTTTCAAACCAGAAGTCGCAGAACTCTTCTTTGCGTTGGTAAGTTTTTGCAAACTTTTTGAGGCTATGGTCTGGAATATCTGAGAAGACATCAGACAGGGGAATCTCAGCAAAGTAGGAAACTATTAACAAGATTTGGGAACGAAAGAAACTTTTTGTTGTCTCGTTGCTGCAAAAAGTTTAACTAAGGGTTTGGGGGTCTTGTTTCACTGCTATGTGCAGTATTTTCAGCAAAATTGAGTTTACTGCTTGAAGAATTAGGAAATTACAATTTTTCTCGCGGTACTCAATGCAGAAATTGCTGTATTGAATATTTTTTCAACCTTTATCTAAGAATTCTTGTGAGGCATTTATTTAGCGGTTTTCATATCAGAAACGTTCTGCAATTCAAAAGTCTCTTGAGAAGAAATGAAGAACACCAGTCACAACCGAGTAAAGTTTTAAGTTGGTACTTTTGGAATCGGTAAATGCGCACTCGTTTCACTTGCCGGCTTTGTCGTAAAAACTTTCAGTTTTAAAGCTTACTTCACTTTAATGAAGAAAAGTTAAACCCATCTGCAAAGAACAAAAAAAAGCTGAACAAAATTTCTCGCAATTCATCCTGGCTGCTTACTAAATTTTGAAAAAAAACTGAAATTTGTCATAAAGAATATATATATATATATAGCACTATAGCATAGGGCTTCTTCATTTATGTATTTCTATTCAATTTCTCCACTTTTTTTAAAAGAAGGGACAGCATTATCTACGAGTTTTTTTTTTCAGGCCTCAAAAAAGCTGCTTTTCTGTTTCCTGCGCTTTAATCGCTGTCGATGGATCCCAACTGAGATGGAAATTCCCACCAACTGCAAAAGTTCCAACAGGATCATAAGTTCTGACTAAAAGCTACGCACAAAAAAGATTAGCACGAAATTTTTTGCAGAAAACAAATAACAAAGACAGTGAGCAAATTTTATATGACCTTTAAATAATAGTGTAATATGCACGTAGATCATTAATGAGTCTCATACAAACTAAACTGATAACAACTAGCTGGCAAACTTTTCATAACTTTAGCTATTCTTGCAGTTGTTAGTCTGCTTTCACGTTTTAATTGAACAATACTTCTAAATTCTCTATACATAAATTTAGAAATCTTCCAAAAAATAAATGCCTTTGTGAAATAACTTTGTTTTACTGCTATAATCTGTAAAAAATGCACAAGTATTTTCTTAATTTATACAATTAAACGTTTTTCAGAAACTTGAAAAATGTTTTATTTGGCTGTTAAAGCAGTTTAAAATCATAAAGAACTATGTATTTATATTTATAACTCAAGTTATGCTTTTATACGAACAAATAAACTGAAAGGCATAAAAAGTGCGGTAAATGTAATTCAAAATAGTACAAAATGGCGGAAACAATAATGAACATACACATATTGAATTTTACTGCTACTATATCTAAAAATCTTTGATTTTGAGATCTTTTGCAGACGTGTAAAAAGGGTATTGTTCAATTCAAAAATCTTTCTAAAATGAATAATCAATCTAGCATTATACCAATAAGCTCTATGTACAATAAATGAGATTTTCGAATGAACATGTATTAGCGTACAATATCAAATACATTGAATAGAATAGCGGTATCAACAAAACCGGTTTATCAAACATTAAATATTAAACCCAATAATATTTGATGTTAACGTCAAAGAGACTTTGTTGAGGCACTGAGTTGTTTTCGTAAAACTTCCTTCATCTGGCGTTTGAGACTAGAATTAAAACTGTAAATTGTATATTTTCTGTAATTGTATCAAAAGGAAAAACAGCTACATTCTTATAAGAATATATAATCATTAGTTAAAATTAAAGTATAGCTTACAGTAAGTTAGAAAACTTCACTAAAATTTCTTCAAGGCTGAGTAAATAGTCATAATGCCAAACGCATTTAATTTATGTGAAAAGCTGATCATAAAACTGACTTATCATCAATACCATTTCCAAGGCTTCGATTTTTCTTCAAATTATGTTCAATATCGCTCAGCTTTCGCTCCAGTTTTTCGCGCTTCTCACGTTCTTCATCAAACATCCTATAAACTGTGATTTTAAGAACAGGTAACATATGCAAAAGAAAGGCACCAAAATCTTTAGTAATAGTGAAGACTGAGCTTACTTTTAACTTTTAACTACATAGCTAACCAACTGGATAAGTTAATAAATTAAAATTATTTTTCTCGTGCGCCAGAAAAGACCAAACCTTGTTGCGAGAGTCCGAACAATTTCTTCATCGTGCAGAGCTTTTCGTTCCTCATCGAGTAGCTTAGTTAGCCTCAAATTCTCACTTTCCAGAGCCAACCTCCATGTCAAACTCCGCTCTGCTGAATAGGAGCAGTCATTTTCCAACGCTCTTTTCTTATCGTATTCGAAAAGTTCATCTCTTGTCGGGTATTTTATTGCTAATTGCATTTCTAAAAAAAAATACCTACTGTTGGTGCCATTGTTAGTGTCTGAACGTCACCTACTTCCACAGAAAAAACAAGTTTTTCTTCCTCAAAATATTTTTTATGCGAAAAAATAAGTGCATAATGATTTACCACTTTTGTTGTCCAAGTGTTGTGTTAAAAAGAAAAATATTAATAAAAGAGGAATACCCGAGATCCAAGAAGCTTGTTGTAGCTCATCAAAATGTGCAAATAGAAATTCTTTCCCACTAGCACATCTTAAATTCCATGTAAACCTGTCCTCTTCGAATATGATTGACTGAAAAATCATTGAGTTTTTGAACAATTTTTTATCTATACTTAGAAGTCATATTTAGGTAGTAGTGCAAAATCTGATCTTTAGCTGTAACCATCATTTAAAAATGAACAAAAAATTCTCTACCTATTAACACTGATGACGTCGAATAAAACATTTTTATCTGTGTGGGAAAAAAATTTTCTTCTTTTTTTCTTTAAGTTTTTTTGATAAAATGAGAGGTCGAACAAACAAAAAATTATATAACAAATAATTGACGCATTTTTGAATTTATCATTTTACTGTTGTTCATTAATTTACCCAATGCTAAAATTTCTCTATTTCTTTAGACTGTAACACTTTATGATACTACAAAAATTGTAATTTTTTAAATCTTTTATAACCATAAAAGGACACTAACGTTTACAGTTGCATTTGGGGTAAGTGCAACTTTTCTTCGGTTTGCCGAAGTGGTTGGCTTATGAAGTGGCCATAGATACAGAACTCCGGGATGCGCCGTACACCAATACATGTGCCATTTTTGGCTTTTCCACATACAGCTTTTCAGTCTTTCCACTCGCCTACACATCAAAAATCCCTAAATAATCCTTCTCAACAAAGTTCCAGTAAATGTTTAAGCACTGGAGACAAACTGCTCTTCAACATACAACATTAATTTTTAGGTTAATTAATAAAAAATTCATCAACTCAGAGCTTTAACTTCCAGACTTCTCCAGTTCATGAAAATCTCCAAAAAAAAAAAAAAAAAAAAAAAAAAAAAAAA